GAGAGAGAGAGAGAGAGAGAGAGAGAGAGAGAGAGAGAGAGAGAGAGAGAGAGAGAGAGAGAGAGAGAGAGACGACTAGACGGCCAACGTGGATCTTTGTTCGCGCGGATCCGGGGTTTCTGGTTCCTGGACACTGAAAGTGAAAGGGAACGAAACGTTGGCAGATAACGTAGCAAGGACGTCCACTGCAACTCGCCGTTCTCGGTTGCCGCCCTCGAGAGCCGTCACCGCCGCCGCCACCGCCGCCGCCGCCGCCGCTGCTGTTGCGGCACGTCACGTGGCCGTGTGTATTCGTGTTCGGTATTCCGCTCGACAACCCCCGCACATCCCCTCGTCTAAAACGTCCCGGGGTCGGCGCCGTCGCCGTTGGCTAGTTCCTCTGCGTGTGCACCCTTTCGGATTCTTCTTTTTTCGCACGCGCTCGAATCTCTCTTTCGTCGCTTTTTCGTACGCGCGCGTTCTCTCTCTCTCTCTCTCTCTCTCTCTCTCTCGATAAGGAGACGCGCAGCCGCGTCGACGCCGCGGGTTGCTTCGCGCAGAAATTCGCAGGACACGCAGGATTCGTGGGGACTGAGGAATGCCGCGCGTAGCTTCAAATGAATTTTATGGACTTTTCACTTGAGTCCTCTTTTATCGCGTTTTCATCGGCGAGCTCAGCCGAGGACTCCGTCTCGAAAGTCGGAATTTTATGAGACAGAATCGCGAGTTGCAAAATTGTAAGAATTTTAGAAAAGCCGCGACCAGAGTACTAGTATTAACCAGAGTACAAATTTCTATTTCTTTTTCTCTTTTTCAAGACAAATCTGAGGTGGACGGTCCTCTTTGTGTTTTAATTAATGAAGACAGACAAGGAAACCACGTCTCAAAAGTCAGAATTTTACGAGACAGAATTGCGAATTATAAAATTATAAAAATTTTAGGAAGAGCGCGACGAACTAATCAGAATATAATTTTGTTTTCTATTTTCAAAACAAATTGAGGAGATTTTTTTATGTAAATACTCTGATTGTTATGGAATATAAAATATGTTCACAGCAGTTGCGAATTATAAAATTATAAAAATTTTAGGAAGAGCGCGACGGACTAATCAGAATATAATTTTGTTTTCTATTTTCAAAACGAATTGAGGAGATTTTTTTATGTAAATACTTTGATTGTTATGGAATATAAAATATGTTCACAGCAGTTTGAAGTTCACGTTCGCGATGTCCGCTTGAATTTCGCGTCGACTTTTTTTTCTTTAGAATTCACTGCGAGGTAGCCGTACCGTTAGCCACCAATCCGGAATAATAAGTTTCTGGGACGATGCGCGGTTTTGGTGCGATGAACTGTCACGCTTACGAAAGGAAATGTGGTTGATCGGAGACAGCTGGCAGTCAAGCTTTCTTACGTTTCTAATGATCAGGTGACTGTACGCGTCGTATCATAATAATACTATTTTACTTCCTTACTTATCCATTAAAGGTAATGAAGAATTCAGCTAAACAATGGTCTCTTGGGTACAATAAAGAATTCAGTTATTGCGATATCTTGCGGAAGAGGAAACAAAAGATTTATATCTACATTTTGAAATATACTGAAAGGTGTTTTGATAAAAAAGCAGAAAACAGATCACACAACAAGAAATTCGCACGGAAGTTCAATTTATCAAAGATTGAACGAATGCTTGATATTTGATAAGGAGATAGTTTGTCAAGGATACATTCAGGAGATATGTTTGCTGAAAAATGGACTTATCTCAATGATAACAAAGGATTTATTTAAAGAAAAATTGATAAAAATCTAACTATCAAAGCGTTCGTTTATCTCTCTCTCTCTCTCTCTGTGTGTATCTTTCTCGATTAAAGTGGAATTTTCGAGGATGCGGAATTAACAGGGTTCCAATATGCGAGATATCAGCCGTGGAATTTCGCAAGTGTGCGAATGTGAGCGCTAGTGAAGCGTAAGTGTGAGTCACACCGCGCGCAAAGGGGAGCCACGATCTCGCAGGAACGCGAGGTCACGAGGAAAGGAACGACCTTGCCACGGAGGATATATTTCGAGAATGGACTTTAACGAGTGGACGCCACAAAGGGAAGCGCGACGATCATCAGCCGGATCCAGTTCATCGTCCTCGATTGGTCGTGAATCAACATTTTTCCCGCCGTGGCGCGTACCGCACGGGCGTGTTTCTCTACCGCGGAGGATCCCGCCGAGAGCGGCGGCGGTACCCACGATTTCTAGGCGATTACGTATGTACTCTCTCGCGTGCAGCCTGCACTGCGAAGCGGAGATCTGTACCGGTTCCAGCATAGCCGCGGATACGCGTGTTAGGATATCCGGTTAATTGACTCTCCACGGGTCCATTTGGACATCCGACTTATTCGCCATTCATTGCTTCCGACCCGGATTACTTCTTGGGATTTCTTAGGAGAGACCCGACTTATTTTCGAGCTATATTCATAATATTGTGTGATAGAAAAATTATATATATATATATATATATATATATATATATATATATGTAACAATATTAAAGGTAATAAGGATATTACACGATATGGCGATGTTATCGATTAGAATGTTATAAAAAAATTTATCTGATAAAAGCAACATTCAAATATTATTAAAAAAGTAAGACCAATCTGTCAATATATAAATCTATTTCTGTCTCGATAGTTGTGCACGGATATAATTTCGAAGTAAAAATTAATATAGAATTTTGTAAGCGAGAAATAGATCGATATTCCGCAGCAATTGGCTATCCTTTCATTTCGTATATACTATTTATGCTTAAGAAATAAAATTATATTAGAAAAGTTTACTTTGGAATTATTACAAAATTAAATTTAACTACGTTACATTAATTATGCCTCCAGCAAAACATAGTAGAATTCTAGCGAAATTCATTGCGCTTTTTAACAAGACAAATCTTACTAACAGTCTATTTCTACACTGCTACAATGAAAGAAAAATATCTGAAAACTTATTTGTAGAATATAAAGTTTATTTCTGCGAGTAAACTTTGTTTCACGAATAAGTTTCCAAGTATCTTTTCTTCAGTGCAGAAACATAGTGAGATTGAAAAAAACTTATATAAAACAAAAACTATTAAAATATTCTCACCGTGTAGGTAATCGGGCCGATTGCAATTCGAGTGGCGCGCGGGGAAAATGAAAATCATACCTTGTCGTTCTCCCACGGTTTCACGGCGGGAGCTCGCACCGCGGAATTTTCCAGCGGAGAAAAAGTCCGGTCGTGCTATTTTCTAAATTCCACCTAATACGTAATCGTCGCTCGCAACAATCCGTGTAGCGCGTATAAGTTGCGCGAAACTCGATAGCAGCTGCACGCCGCCTCGTAATAACGCTTACTTTCTCTTCTTCCCCGTGTCGCGCACTAGTAACGGTGCAGAATCTATTTCTGCGCCCGATGACAGTTCCTTCGATCCACCATGACTGGCGGCGGTGCTCGGTATCGGCACCTCGATATCTCGGCGTCGGTTCGCGCGCGAACGAGATCGATCGGAGGGTATGATTCGCCGGTGGTCCCGCCGGCGGGAGGCATACGACGACGATCTCGTTGACACTCTTCCGGTTCTACTGAGTAGCAGAAAAGCAAAGTAGAACAAAGCGCCTAGGTATTTGCTGGAAAAGCGCAGTTCGTGCCCGCGATAAAGCGCGATAATGTATCTTTACGATACGAACGGCAGAAAAATCGGGAACGTAGAACCCTTATCGCGCGAATTCAGCCGTTAATACGCGATAAACGCGCATTTCTTCCGCCTAGCCGGCAATTAACGCACCGATTGCACACGGCCGATTGGGAATGACGTGGATCGATTCGTCAGGTGAGAATCGCGTGTCTCCTCCCCCTCTTTTTCTCTCTCTCTTTCTCACCCGCAGTGCGATGACTCTCGCGAAAAAGCATTTCACGAAGAGAACTCTGTCGCAATACCGATCGGCTGGACGATCGATTCGCCGGCCGATCGCGATCTAAGGCGCACGAAATCCCGACAGATCACCTCGCAATTACGCGGATCAACGATAGTGAAAGTAACCAGCGCAAGGTCACGTCGCCAGAAGTATTTAATTATCGCGCGATCTCCCTCTTTCTTTCTGTTTCTCTCTTTTCCTCTGTCTGTCTATCTTTCTCTCGCAATCTACGCCGTCACGGAGATTCGCACGCTGGCCTCTCACCCACCTCGCCGAAGAAGACGATCAATGGACTTCTGTGAGTAAATGCGAGACGTACGAAACTGTTTCGACACGCGGCGATTAGCATTCGAGCCGTCCTCATTGTACGCGCTCATTACGCCTGCGTCCTCGGATCCGCCGATCGTTAGATTTTCGACTTCCTCGCAATCCGCCGTGCGAAATCGCGGGATCTCTCTCTTTCTCTCTCTGTCTTTCTTGCGGACGGAGGGACTCTGCTTCGGGCGTGCGTTTAATCTTTTCGCACGCAAATTCAGCGCGCCACGATGTCGACGCGTCGATCGATTGCTTTCGCGTTCCAATGCGCGAGATTTCGAAGTCATCTGAAGTTTCGATTATACGACTCGAATATGCGAGTCTCGCGTCACGCGATTGGCACCCGCGCGCTCTCGTCACCTACGATCTCTCGGGATCATCTCGGATTCGCGCGTCTTCGCGCGCGGCTCTGCGCGCGAAATCACGGAACTTCAGGATACTCAGGCTCGATTGTAACGCGGCGCTCTCACTTTTTCACGGGCAGATTTTCGACTTTCCCACCTGTGCCCGCGGACTGTAAGATATCTCTCGATTCCAAGACTTCCAACTCGCGCTCGATTCCGCTACGCGCATAGTTCTCGCGTAACCGCGTAAATGGGACACCAAACAAATCTACTTTCATTTCTGCTCGAGGCGGCCAGTTAGAGTCTAATAAGCGGGAAGTTAACCCACTAAAGGCCATGATTATAAATACAATGAATTTTCGTTGAACCATGATTGCTTCTACTCTTTAAACGCGGATTAACGCGAGAAAAGGGATTCAACGCTCAGCGATCTAACGTTCGGACGCTTGCGTGGGTGAAGAAACCATAAAAGTCGTCCGACGCTTTGAGACTCGTAATTGTGATGTAGAGACTTTTGGTTGAACTCCCTCTCGATTACTATTTTTACTCTCTGGTAATTTCGGACAACTTTTTTTGTTAACAGCAGCAATTTCCTCTGAGAAACTCGAATGTATTCCGAAATTAGGGGAACTGAGAATAATTATTTGACGAGAATAATTATACGTAATAAAGAGAAAGTTTCTTGTAATCAGAATAAGCGAGCAAAATACAAAAGAGCTTGAATGTGTATGAGCTAACAAACACTCGGATTACTAATAAGGAAATTACACACCCGCCGATGATCGCCGATATAAGCGGAAAGGGAGAAAGCAACGTGCAAGAAAACGAAAATAGCTTTCGCACCTGATCCGCAGACGGGGGTTCGCTTTCTGCTAAATCCTTATCCCGTGTATCCTCGCGACGACGCAGATGGTGTCATAGTCGACGAGTGACGGCGTGACGGTGAAACCAGAGGATTCGCTTCCTGGGTGAATTTCAGCTGGCTGGACGTTCGGCCGATCGATGTTAGCTGGCCGTTTGGTCACTCTCTCTTCCCTCTTCGTATCTTTAGCGCGCGGAACGCAGGGCACGCGTGGACGACGAAGAAAGCGAGGGCCGTCGACGGTTCCGTCGAAGCGAGGGTGAACGTCGCGAGGCGAGCTGTTGACGACGACGACGACGACGGGATCGCGCAAGATCGCCGGAATCGGTCAGGTGAAAGCGGAGCCGAGAGGTGAACGTTGGCCGCACGACTGCCATGGCATCGTCTACCAAGGTACCAGAAGCCGTTCTCAACGCCGTCCCCCCCGCCTGCCGTAGTAAGGCTAAGTACTTTCACGAGAGTAGGTAGAGAGCGAGGCTCGAAGCTGAAGAGACGAAAGAGCGAGAGGTCCGAGCTCGCGACGGAGCTCGGGACCGCGAGGCGCGCTTCCTCGCGTCCTGCGTCTCGCAATTTTGCAAATTCCTGGCTCCTCGAATTCGATGAGCCATTTCAAACGTCGTAATCTCGGCGTCGCACGACCACCAGACACTTCTCTCGGACAGTCCGAAATGTCAAAGCTGCGTGCCCGCGCACTGTCGCCTCGGTGAGAGCGGAATGCCGCCTGCCGGTTGGCAACCTCCGAGCGTCTGTCAGTCGTGCGAATTGCGCGCGAATGGTATCCGCAGGGTGCACGCGTGCGAGTCAAGTGTGTCCCCTGTTTAAAATGTTGGATAGAAAATGATAGAAAATTTGTCTATCATATTTTACGGTGATTTTGATTCACATATTTCACAGCTTATTTACGAAATTTCGTAAGTGAATTCATATACTATGTATTGTCTATGATTGATAAATATAAAATGATTATACTAACTTTCATATTCAACATGATGGAAAAGAGTAATATCATAAGATATGATCAAACTACATAGATCTTTTCATTTTTATCTGACCATTTTGTAACCATCATTATAAATAGAATCATTATAAAAGAATATTATAAGTAGTTTATTATAAAATAATAATAAATACAAAATGCGATATTTACTATGATTCAGAGATATCAATTTATTATACAAACATCAATATTCAAGATGATTGAAAAGAATAGTATCATAAGATATAATTAAAATATAGAAATAGAATATAATTAAAATATAGAATATGTTGTACGGCTTCGGTGCATAATAAGTCATATAAATTAATATAGGAATTCTACCCATTTCAATCTTATCCAATCATTTTCTATCAAATATTTTAAGCACTATTTAATATGCACTATAATCTCCATAGTATTAGCTTCAAAATGAGCCATGGATCATTGGAATCGGATAAGTTTTCGCTGAGATATCGCAATTTTTGCCGAGTAAAATCAATGAATGTACTAAAGGTTTTTTGAAAGTTAATATTGAATCTTTATAAATGTTTTAACCCTTTATGTCGAAAATCAGTCGAAAAAGTGAAAAATCTTCAATGAAAAAATGAATTTTCAAGTACCTAGTGCTTGAAGCGCCCCCATTCGTCCATTTTAGCTAGTAAATAAAAAATGTTTTTAAATTGTTTTGAGGGAATCTACTAAGCTTCATTTTAAGCCATTAATCACATTTTTAGGACTTGAAATGACCATTTGGCAGCCATCTGTAGCAATTAAAATTTAAAAATCCATAATTGGCCACCTGGACTTCCGGA